TTCTTTCTTTCTTTCTTTTAGATAGGATGCTATATAGTCCAAGCTGGTTTTGTGTGCCACCATGGACTTCTTTTTTTTTTTTTTTAACTTATTTATTTATTTTGGTTTGTCAAGACAGGATTACTCTGTGTAGCCCTGGCTGTCCTGGAACTCACTCTGTAGACCAGGCTGTACTCACAGAGATTTACCTGCCTCTGCCTTTGCCTCTGCCTCCTGAGTGCTGGACTAAAGGCAGGCATCACCACTGCTGGGCTCTTTTTTAATATTTCGTATTAGCAAACAGTTGGGTTTGGAGCACCTAATCCTTCTTTAAGGGGAAGTACAACTGTAGCAAGGACAGCTGGCCTCAGACGCTTCCTCACACAAAGTTTAATTGAATATCCAAGGAAGCCGAAGACTGATTTCTTTAAAACCCCTTTTAAAAAAAATTTTTTTTAATTTATTTTTTTAGAATGGAGGTGTAGGTCAGCGGTAGGGAGTGTGCTTACCATGTGTAAGACCCAAGCTCACCCCCCTCTGTCCTTGAATGCCACAAAACACCTAGTGAAAAATTACAGACAACAAAAGCACTCCCACCAATTCTGTCTGACTATTGCAGTCTTGGGATGGGTAACCAGAGACGCTGTTACAGGATGCCAGATCGGCTTCAAACGTCTCTGCTACTGATCAGTTGTATGATCTCAGGCAAGTTTCTTAATGTCTCTGAGCCTGAGCTCTGCATCTGTGGAAGGGTGACACTCCTGTGGGGTGTCACGAAGGGTGAATGAGGCAGTGCCACAAAACTGGGCACCTGAGCAAAAGCTTGGCAAGGGAGGCACCTGCTTGCTGGTCTGGGTGTGAGCAGGTTTCCCAGGGTGCTGTTTCTTCATGTTGTTCCTTGTCCCTGTGGGTCCAGCCCTCCCTACAGGAGGGGACCTCATCCTCCACAGCCTCCTGTTCTCCCTGACTTGTCTGTTTGGTCTCTGGCAGGTGATGCTGTTTCCCGGAGGTAACCAGCCACTCAGAGGAGAGACCCACACCCGGATCATATATTTATTACCGTCACCCTCTCAGAACCCTCCCTGCTGGTACCTACCCTCTATTTATTAGCCAACTCGTCCCTGCTGAATGACTTGCTCCCTCCGAGATAAGGGGCATGGAAGGACAAGACCCTCAGGAATTCAGTGCCTTAAAACAGAACGTGAGAGAAAGAAAGAAGCCAACCACAGACCCGTGGGAGCTTCGGCTTGGGAAGAAGCAAGACTTGGACATGGCCTTACAAGGTGCAAGCCATGCTCCAGAGGCCCTGGGTCTCCAGGGAACTGGAGAAGAGAAGAGGAGACCTAGAACCTGCCCTGGTCCACAGCTCCACCTAGACAGCAGCTCTGGCCCTGGCTGCACTGAAGGCATGTAAAGGGGACCCGGTCTACTGTACCCTGGAGATCAGGACAGGACGTTCGGCTCTGGAGACCAGAGCTTGCCTGTGGGCTTTGCCTTTCAGCCTAGAAGTTCATGCTTCACCCTTTGCAAAGCACCACTACCCTGTCCCTGCTCTGGGACACAGGCAGAGTGGCCTGAGACTGAACAGAGGGCAGGCTGGATGAGTACTAGCCCATGGACTTTGACCACTGCAAGTCTGGGCCATGTGTCCTAGTGGTACAGCTACGGAAAGCAAACCGATTCCTGGAGGGCCCTTGCAGCCCACCAGTCGTCTCTGCCAGGACTGTCTAACTGCCAAGCCAGATTCTCTTGAATAAAGCATTCTAGTCTGGAACCAACATGTCTAGGTTGTATGTCTTCCAGAGCCATGGGGAGAATATAAAACAGAGGCCATGTGGATGAGCGAGGATGTGGGAGAGCCAGGTCCAAGCCTCGATTCCTCATCTCAGAAAGACTTCTCAGGTTGTGAGGGGACATGTCAGCGGGTGACATCATATGTTTCCCTTTTGACAGCTGGGGAAACTGAGGCCCAAGAAAGCAGAATGGGTGGTGCAGAGGTAAGGGAGCACCAGAGTGAGAGCCGGGCCAACCTTATCCTAGACTTGTCAAGTGACATTGAGTTTCCCTGCACTCACACTTGGATAGATGTCTCCGGCTCCAACACTGTTAAAGGAACCCTGCTGACGTCTCAATGGCCCTGGATGGTCTTCAGAGACCATCCCTACAGAGACTATTTCAGGGATGCCCCCGGAGTCTACCCTGAAAGTCTCCCCTCTAAAAGTTGGGGACAGGTCTGGCTTGAGCCTCCTCTAAGCCTCATCAAACCCAAGAATAGGGCCCTGTTTTCCTAACCCAAAGCCACCCACATCCAGCCTGGAGCATAGATTCTGGATAGCTAATAAGTAAGTTTCCTAGTGTTCTCAGTCCCTAGGACACCCTGTCCTAGACTTGCTGAAGCATGGTGTCATCTCACCACTTGGGCCTCTGGATACCTGGATCTGTGGCCAACTTCTTCCTTTTGCCCCTCAACTTCTTCACCTTCCTCCCTAGCGGGGCTTGAAATGGAGTCCAAACCATTTTTTAACAGACACCCAGCTGTTCTTGACCCATGAGATGCTGTGAGTACCATTTCATGGTGTGTGTGTCTGTGTGCTGGTTTGAAGAGCCCTACTTTATCTCGTGACATTGAGACACAAAAGAGCTCAGGCACAGAAAGGAGCCTTCCTATAGGTTCTTAACCTTCCTACTGCTGTGACCCTTGAATACAGTTCCATGTAGTGGTTCCATGGAAAGTTATTTTCATTGCTGCTTCATAACTGTAATTTTGCTACTTAGCAGAGTCTCGCTTCCTAAGACGATCCGAAGTGTGTGTTTCCTGATGGTCGTAACCCACAGGTTGAGAACCACTGCTGTAGGCTTTGGGTGGAGGCCATGACGATGAACAGGGTAGAGGGGCTCTATGCAGGCAGCTGCCTTCCGGTTGTCTGTTCATGGAGGTCTGGGGCCCTGGACGAGAGTCTGGTGGCGTTCGTTCGGTCAGCATGTGCTCCTGGCCGGGGATCAGAGAGGGTGTGGGCTGGTCCCAGGGGACTCAGCTAAAGAAATGACTTTCTTACTTCTCTCTTCAGCTGCAGCTGTTCAAAGACATTGTCTTTGGCTGCATTCGTTGAGGGAAACACCCCTCCCTCTCTCCCTTAGGCCTCTGGCTGGGACCTGAGGACCCCAACCCCACCCAGAGCATCAGTTCCCACCCAGGCCAGCAACCTCTACAGTAACCTAGACAGAGAGCAGAGCAGTTCCTGGGTTAGAAGAAACCCTTGTCCTTGGCCAGGGTGTTCACTGCAGGAACAATTAGGAAGGAACATTGTGATGGTACATTTGACCAAACTGCCGGTCTTTTCAGGTCACCTGGGTCCCCAGGGACCTGTGTAATAGGCTTGTCACTCATTGGCAGAATACCATCGAGTAATAGGCTCTGAGCAGCAGTGGGAATGGAGCATGCATGCCTTCCTCCCACCCCTGGGCTCTCATTCCACAGAGAGTTGTGTGATAGAGGGTATCGGGGTTCATTTCAATTGCTCAAATTGATAACTGGACTCAAAGTTAAGGAAAAGGGGCTCTTGAGCACCCAAGATTCTAAACCAAGAAACAATTTGAGGCCAGAAACACTTGCCTACAAGATTCATTTAGAACTTGAAGGGGATGGGGAGGAATCTGGTGAGATAGCTCAGCATTTAAGAGCACCAGCCGCTCTCCCAGAGGACTTGGGTTTGAGTCTCAGCACCATACTCGACAACTCACAACTGTCTGTGACTCCAGTTTGAGGAAATCTAATACCGTCTTCTGTTTTTTTCAGGGACCAGGCACCCATGTGGTACATAAACATATACACAGGCAAACATTCATACTCATTCACTAGATAAATAGAAGATAGATAGATAGATAGATAGATAGATAGATAGATAGATAGATAGATAGATGGGTGGGTGGGTGGGTGGGTGGGTGGGTGGATGGATGGATGGACGGACGGACAGACAGACAGACAGACAGACAGACAGACAGACAGACAGACGGGACGGAGAGCAGAGAGAGATACTTTAAGAGGGATTAGCAAGATGATTGATTCATCAAGTAAAGTTGCTTATCTTGAAAACGTGGTGTCTTAGGGTTTCTATTGCTGTGAAAAGGCATGACCATGGCAAGTCTTATAAAAGAAAACATTTAATTGGGGCTGGCTTACAGTGTCAGCTGTTTAGTCCATTATCACCATAGCGGTGTGTAGGCAAGCATGGTTCTGGAGAAGGAGCTGAGAGTTCTACATCTTGATCTGCAGGCAGTGGAAGGAGACTATGACACTTTGGCCACGATTGAGTTTATGAAATCTCAAAGTCCACCCCCACAGTGACACACTTCCTCCAACAAGGCCACACCCTCTAATAGTGCCACTTCCTATGGGTCAAACATTCAAACACATGATTCTGGGGGTAGGGGGTATTCCTATTCAAACTACCATACTTGGTGACCTGAGTTCAATCCTTGGAACTCACAAAAGGGTAGAAAGGGAGAATTAACTAATTCCACAAAGTTGTCTTGGAACGCACATACCATACGTCACGCATGTGCACATACTAATGATGACAATAAAAATAACAACAACAATAATAAATCTTTAAATTTGAAGTTTTTCTATTTAAAATTGAAGACCAGCCGGGTGGTGGTGGCGCACGCCTTTAATCCCAGCACTTGGGAGGCAGAGACAGGCGGATTTCTGAGTTTGAGGCCAGCCTGGTCTACAGAGTGAGTTCCGGGACAGTCAGGGCTACACAGAGAAACCCTGTCTCGAAAAACCAAAAAAAAAAAAAAAAATTAAAAAATTAAAAAAATAAAAAAATAAAACAAAACAAAATAAAATTAAAATTGAAGACCAGTTGAAGCTGGTCTGGCAGTACATACCTGTAATTCCAGCACTCTGGAAACCGAGGTAGGAGAATCAAGAGTTCAATGTCAGCCTGAGCTACACAGTAAGATTCTGTCAAAATTAAACAGAAAGGAGGGAGGAAGGAAGGAGGAAGGAAGGGTTTTGCCTCTCCAAAATGCAGCTGTGGAACATCAGAGATATCCCCGACACTGCTCCACTGGAGGTAACCCTTCAACTCCCTCCCTTGGTTGAGTTGGGCTGGTCTGTTTTGACCCAGCCAGTGGTTCTTATGCCAGTTTCCAAGGCCACTGGTACTTCCACCTCAGTCACTTGGAACTCTGTGCTCTTAAGATGTTAGGTGTCTTGAGGCCACCGTGAAAGGAGGAAGCTCAGACTGATCATAGAGATGGGGAACAGAGGGAAATGCTCAGCAACCCCAAGCTCCTCTGCCTTTATCTATCACGGTCTTCTCAATGGACGCCTCAGGACACTAGGTAAGGGGCTCAGTGGTGAACAGCACATGCTGCTCTTGCGCAGGACCTGAGTTCAAGTCCTAAAACCTCCTTAGGAGGCTCACAATGGCCTGAAAGTCCAGGCCACACGTATATAAGGCCTCTGACCTCCAGGACACCAGCACTGGACCCACACATAGACACATCATTACAATAAAGGTTATGGGGCTGGATTGAGGGCTCAACGGGGGAAAGCACTTGTTACTCTTGCAGGCGACCCATGTTCTGTTCCATCTTTTCATCTCTGTAGGCACCAGGAAAGAAGAAAGGAAGGAAAGAAGGAATGGAGAAAGGAAGGAAGGAAGGAAGGAAGGAAGGAAGGAAGGAAGGAAGGAAGGAAAGAAGAAAGGCATATAAGCAAAACATCCATACATGAAAGACAAAACAAATACATCTCTTTTTAATTTAAAAAAATATTTTTATGTTCATTGGTATTTTGTCTGCATTTACATCTGTGTACCTGTGCCAGATCCCCTGGTACTGGAATTACAGACAGTTGTGAGCTGCCATGTGGGTGCTGGGAATCGAACCTGGGTCCTTTGAAAGAGCAGCCAGTGCTCTTAACAGATGAGCTATCACTCCAGTCCCTAAACAAACCCTTTTAAGAAAAACAATAAAAATTAGAAAGGCATTTATAAGACTCCACTGAGGGCCCAGACCTCCTAGAGCAAAGACAAATTGTTCTCGCCATGCCCAGCTTCCCTTCCTAACTGCTGGGATCAGGAGACTCCATATCAACAGATTGTTTTAGAGCAGTTTGTTCTGTAACAGTAAGTAACAGGGACAGAAACACAGAAAAGGCAAAGAGGGGCAGTGTTTGAGAGAAATGCTGCAGGCCAGGTCACAGGAAGCCTCACCATGGAGGGGACATTTACAGAGTTTATGACATTATAGTCATATAAAGATCAGAGACAAAGACACGCCAAACAGAGGACATCACCAATGGGGTTAGGAAAGATTCCAAGATGGCTGGAGCATGATGGGTGATGGAGGAAGAGAGGAAGTCTTCAAGAACTAGACCTTTATCCTAAAGGCTGGGTAGGGCATCTCAAGTTTGGTATAATATGACAGGAAACCATTGAAGGGTGTCAAGCCATAGAAGAAAGCAACACTGCATACCTCTTTTCCCTTTTTGATGCAAGGTCTCTCTACATAGTCCTGGCTGTCCTGGAACTCACTCTGTAGACCAGGCTGGCCTTGAACTCATAGAGATCCACCTGCCTCTACCTCCTGAGTGTTGGGATTAAAAATGTGCACCACCACCACTACCCGCCCAGCTATTACTGGGTACCACTGTGAAAGATCACTCTACCTGTTTCTTGGACAATACTCTCTAGGAATACAAGAAGGAGAGGTCACTGAGCACAGTTAGGGTAGGTCGTTCTAGTAAGAGGGACAGGGTACGAAG